GTCACAAAGTTGCTTGTGGATCTCCTCGCTGTTTTCAATCCGCTTCGTAGAGGGTGACTCTACTGGTATGATAGTGTTGCCTGCAATATGTGCTTCCTCCGGATTATCTTGTTTGCGTTGGCCTCTGCAGCCTCTAGACACATGTCCTGACTGGCCACACTTGAAGCAGTGGTCACACTGGTCAGCTCTCCCCTTATTCTGACAGGGTTTGCAACCCTTTTTGATGCCCCACCGAGGCACACGTGGATCCACTGATGAGTTGTACATAGTTTTTCTCATCTCCTCCATTTCTTGTTTTAACTGTTTCACAGTTTTACAGTTCAGTATCTTTCTGGTTGGTCTCCACTGATGTTTTACGCCCCTTAGTTGTCTTTGCTGTTGTGACTTGGTTCTGAGCCTCTGATCCGGTTTCTATGCTGTTGTTACTTTGCTGGTGAATTCCCACTTCCATCCGCATTTCTTGTATTTTCGTGATTTTCCCCCCTGCGTTCTTTTTCAGCTTATTCTGCCTTTCCCAATCAGCCCCTGCAGCTTCATTCATTTTGTCAATRAGGGTTTCATCTGTGACAGTCGGATCTTCAAGAGCRCCCTTCAGTTGGAATTTAATATTATCACTCTGTAGTCCTGTGCTGATGGATCTCAGGAACCTGCTGTGAATTAGTTCAGGGCTATAGCATACATCTGCTCCTGGTTCTTTGGTAGTCAACAACAGTCTGTCTTTTAGCTCGATTGCCCTGAACAGAAAGTTCTGTGGTGTTTCTCGGCTATCCTGTGACATGTCTGCCAGTCGGTTGTACACAGGTCAATGGCACTCTCCTCTTTAAAATGTCCCTTTAATATAGTTTTCAATTGGGGGAGAGTGATGTCCCGTTTAATTTCCAACATACCTCTGATGCTGAGACCTGGGGTRATGGCTTTCACTACTGCTTCAGTGATTTCAGGTTCGCTGTGTCCCTTGCTAAGTCCCATGTCGATCTGATGCATCAGGTTCGTAAATGAAAGTCCATCCTTTYTACCTCTCTCCCCAATCTGCCCATTAATCCTGAACTCCCTCCGGATTGTTACTTCAGATAACCTGCTTAATGGTTGTTGTATCAAGACCGGTGAAGCTGGAGGTTGGCTTGCTTGTTTCTTTGTCTCWACTTTTTCACTCAGTCTCTTTATTTGGTCACTCAGGGCTTGTGCAGATGACTGAAAACTCAACTGTAGATCTGCGTATTGCTTTTGGAGGCTGGCCARTTCATCCTCTGCTGCTCCTACCTCAGGATCTGTTTCCTTCTCTGGTGCAGATGACTGGTTCTGTTTCAACTCCTCCACAAATGTTAACAGCATCTTTAAGTGGTATTCAGCCACATCATTCTCCTCTYTTTCAATCACCGAGTTCAAAGATTCATTGATAAGGCGGAGCAGTATGTGCCTCTTTGTTTCTTTTTCAGCAGATACTTTTATCCGGAGACACACTTCTTTTARCTGTTCCACATTTAGGTCGAGAAGTTTCTCACCCAGCTGGTCTTGTAACCCTTCAAGTGCCATTCTCCTCGAAAGTATCCTCTTCTTATCCACGCTGAAGCACTACTGTCCTCCTGGCTGGCTCGCCATTTTTGTTACACACTTGGTTAAGATGAAATAAYCACTGCCGGTGTAGTGAGTTGTATGGGGACTTTATTCTGTAAACACAGTAAATAAGGCACATTAATCGACTGCTGGTGGCATTTTCCACACCGCTTCAGTCCTCTCCATACATAAGGACCCC